GTGTGTGTGTGTGTGTGTTGATGCAGGCGTTGAGTCGTCTGAAGGCGGTGTGTGTGCGTCTTGCTGTCGGTCCCTGTGTGGTGGAGGCCTCCATCGTCGCCGTGGTTTCTCACTTCCTGTTGGGTCTGCCCTGGGTGTGGGGCTTCATCCTGGGGTAACACACACACACACACACACGCACACACACACACACACACACACACACATATATAGATATAAAGAGCTGTAGTTTCCATATGTTGACAATAATGTGTGTGTGTGTGTGTGTGTGTGTGTGTGTGTGTGTGTGTGTGTGTGTGTGTGTGTGTGTGCAGCTTCGTCCTGGCGGCGGTGTCTCCGGCAGTCGTGGTTCCCTCGATGTTGCTCCTGCAGAGAGAAGGGTTCGGAGTGGAGAAGGTAAAGCCACTCATCTGATTCTGTAACCTGCCAGCAGGGGGGAGCCGGCGGACGATCAGAACCTCTAAATGATGCCAATAACCAGTAATCAGTCAAAACTAGAACCCACTATAAGATCCCTAGAACCTCTTTGATGACTACTAATACCTCCATCAGACATCTGACGGTCCTTTAGGAGGTTCTTGTATTCACTAAGAGCCTTTCCAGGGTCATCTACAAGATCTACAATGGAATTAAGAACCTTCTAAAGGAACCCTAAAACATCCTTAATGTCGAGGAGAACTTCCTAGTACTACTAGAATATCCTCAATGACCTGTCCTCAGGGAACCCTAAAATATATACTAGAACCTCCTCATTGGCCACTCGAACCTCTTCAAGAACCCCTAGAACCTGCTCAAGGACTACCAGTATCACCAATAGGACCCAGAGAACACATTTTTTGTAGTGATGTGATGTTCCATTGACGTTCTAATGATGTTCTGTGTTGTTGTTCAGGGAATCCCCACCCTCCTGATGGCTGCTGGGAGTTTTGATGACATTCTGGCCATAACGGGGTTCTCCACCTGCCTGGGAATCGCCTTCTCCACAGGTCCGTACAGGAGAATATGCTCAGTTCTATTCTATTGGGTTCCATTGGGTTCTATACGCTGTGTTTGTCCTGCAGGTTCTACGTGGATGAACATACTGAAGGGTCTCCTGGAGGTGGTGGGAGGAGTTATAGCCGGGCTGATCCTGGGTCTGTTCCTGTGCTACTTCCCCAGTAAAGACCAGGTGAGGCTGTGGTTCTATTTAAATCTTGAATGTAGTTTATTTAATTCTCTAAACGTTCTCTCTGTCCCTCTGCAGGAGGACCTGGTGTTGAGGAGGACTCTCATGTTGTTGGGTCTGTCCATATTTTCGGTCTTCTTCAGTCACGTTATTGGTTTTGCCGGAGCCGGTGGACTCTCTACGCTGGTTCTGGCCTTTCTGGCTGCGCTGGGATGGAAGACCGACAAGGTACCACACATCAGAACCACGTTAATCTGGATTTAACACCTGGATCCAGACCTGTTCACACAACCCTCAACATGTCTTTAAACCGTTTGAATGTGTTTGAGATCAGTGGTTGTCTTCACGTGCAGGCCCCGGTGGCCGCCATGGTGGGGCGCTCATGGGACGTCTTCCAGCCGCTCCTCTTTGGACTGATTGGTGCAGAGATCACCATAGCAACCCTCAGCCCCAGCACCGTGGGTGAGAACCGTGTGGAAACAAGCAAACAGCACATCATTTAGACCTGGTCTCAGGAACCAGGAACCAAGTGGACCATGTAACAAACAGGTTTTACACTCTGTGATGTTCCGTCCCTCTCTTGTGTGTCCAGGTCTCGGTCTGGCCTGTATCAGTACCGGTCTGGTGATCCGCCTCCTCGTCACCTTCCTGCTGGTTCATTACGGAGGATTTAACCTAAAGGAGAAACTCTTCATCTCTGTGGCCTGGCTCCCCAAAGCCACCGTACAGGTCTGTATGCATAGAACCAAATCACAGACCACAAGAACCACCGAATGACCCTAAGACCTTCTCTATGACTGCTAGAACTTTGACAATGATAACCACACAAAGGACATCTAGACTATCCTAGAACCTTCTGAAGGACATATGACTCCTATAACCACATTCTCAGAAATAAAGTTGCTAGCTAGAACCATGTAGGGTTCTTCGGCCTGTCCTCATAGGAGGACCTTTTACCCTTCTATGATATAACAGTTCCACTCAAAACCCTCTCTCGAGGTTTTATCCAGAACCGTTCCACCTGCTCAGGGTGCTAACATGAACCCAACCATGAGCCCTTTTATATTTGAAGGGTTTCATCTAGAACCCTAAAGGGTCGGGACGTTCCCTTTTAAGACCCGTGCTATCAAGAATCCTTAGAAACTCTTTCTTCCAAAAAGGGTTCTTTGGATGAAAAATGTTCTTCTTTCAAAGAACCCTAGAAAAACAATTTGCTTCAGAAGCAAAAGGTTCTGGGTACAACCTCAGCCCTTCAGGAAGAACCCATTGGAACCATTATTTGTAAGCGTGGACCTACAGGAGAGCTTTTTCAATCCCCATTAGAACCTTTAAAAGAACCACTGGAATCCTTTACAGGACTCCTAGAACCTCATCAGTGACTACACAAAAACCACTTAATAGAACCTCCTAAATGACCCCTACAATGTATTCATTGACGACAAGAACCTTATAAATGATGACTGACCATCCAAAATATCTCTAGAACCTCCTCCACTAGGGCCAACAGAATGACGACTAGAACCTGTTAAAAGATGCCTTGAACCTCTTCAGTCACAACATTAGACCCCTTTCAGAACATTTATGACGTTTCAAATCTCCCAAAGTTGTCCCTAGAACCCTTTTAAAGGACCTCCAAAACCTCCTTAGTGATAACAGGAATCTTCATACATGTCAAGTTCAATGTAGCCTTGGAGTTTTGGGTTCTAGCAGTCATGTGCATTTAGAATGTCTGATGTGTGTTTATTTGTGTGCCAGGCGGCTATCGGCTCCAAAGCATTGGACTTGGCGAGAGAGGACGGGGACGAGACCTTGATTAAGTTTGGTTTGGACGTTCTAACGTTAGCCGTATTAGCCATCCTGACCACGGCTCCCATTGGAGCGCTGGGTATAGGACTGGCAGGACCACGACTCCTGGCCCGGCAGGTCAAAGGTCAGTGAAGTGAAGACTGGGCAAAAGGTCCTCACAAAGCACAATGTCCTCACTACGATGATGTTAAATGGAAATGGGTCCCCATAAAGTTAGCAATACAAGCCTACACACCCACTTTCTCGTCATTGAACCCTTTATTAATATTATTATTTATTATTATTCATTATTATTCATTATTACTGACAGAAGGATAGACGGATCATATTTTTGCTCACTGATTTTAATCTCAGCAGATGATACAGAAGGCGGAGCCACGACTCCAATCAGCAATGGGATTGGTCAAGAAAAGGACAACGTGACCCTTGAGAGCAAGCTATGAGGCCTCTGATTGGACAGACAAAAGAAAGCTATTTTATACACAATAAGTTAAAACCTTCTGTAGACGCAGATGTTTTTTAAAATGTCTTTGCTGTGTGTTTATTTTCATGTGCTAATGCTAGCTTGTACTAGCTACTGTCGCTAAATCAAAATTATGTTTTTCACTCAGAATTTAGAGATTTTCTTTCTTAAAGGTATGTATTCCAAACGTATTGTTTTAACACATAAGAAGTTATTAAAATAACAAATACCTGTTAAAATGATGAGATATGAAGTCAAAATTCCTATATGTTGAATTATTGGAAGTTAAACCTTATCGTTAGCTCATTAGCATGGTGGCCTGAGGGCAAATGAAAGCAGAATACCATTTATATACTAGTAGTTAGCTAGCTATTGTTAGCATAGCATGCTAAATTTATAAATTCTCACCGGCAGCTACTTCAGCGAGCGCGGTTATCTGATTTTTGAGGGCGTTCAAACGTGGACTAATTTCCCATTGGAAATAGTTTGTGTGAAGATTAAGACAAAAAGAGCTGAGGGGGAGGGGGTGGAGCTGGTAGTTAACTGAGCAGATAACTAGTGATATTATCGAAACTCGACTAATGAGTAAGTTCTAACTTAGTAGAAGCAGAAACTTACCAGATCTTTTGGGACACAGTGGAGGATATATATATATATTATTTATATATTATATATCTTTCTATCACTCTTATTGTAATTATTTTCTTCAAGTCCGAGAGCAATTAAGCCAAATGTGTTCAACAATTATTGTAATGAGCTGAAATTTATCATCATTAATCAATGAAAAAGTCAATAAAGTTACAAAGTGACAAAGCACACTTTCATTTCATTTATATATGTCTCAGTTTTGGATGAAACAGCTCTTTGATCAACAGGAAAACATCTGACTAGATGTTAACTGACACGTTGAAATTCAAATGTCATGTTGGGTAAAGTTCACGGATCAACAACAAACGTTTACAGGATGTAACACATGAACCATCAGACCCACGCAAGAAACTATGAAAAAAAAGACAAATCTTGGATCCAAAGTTGAAACTTTGACATCTTCGCTCCTTTTTTATCAAAACGAAGATCAAAGTAGAAACCATCAGTGCTGCAGCTTCTCGTGGTTAGCTGGCGCTGACGGTACGACCAATGAGACTCGTGTGTTCAAGTCTCTTCATTAAAGAGTACATGCATGTCATGACAGCACTGTGAAGTGGACCAGGACAAACAGAGGAAACACAAATGTTCTTTAATAACATGTAATAAAACATATTAGAATAAGATACAAAAAAGTGTCAAATCTGCGTTTGGTTTTGATGTCAAACACACAGCGAGTGTTTCCTGTTTCCTCTGCTAAGTGTTCTTCTCCTCACCTCAGACCACACGGAAGACGTCTACAAGCAACCACAGGAAACCTGTTAGAACATCTCGACAAGGACACGCACAACCTCACAATGTTCATGAAGCTGTAATAATCCTTAAAATCTGAGGGTCCTTCTTTGGCTTATGTTAAAGCCTCTTAACGAGATTCATACCAGTCAGGCTCATTAACAAACTAACAAACAAACAAACACAAAGTAAAGCTGAGACTAGAATGATCAAAGGTTCTCTGGTTTAAAGTCATCTCAACTCAACTTCAGGTTTATTCACAACATTTCTTAATTTATCAACGTGACTCGACCTGTTTGTACTCAACGTGACTCGACCTGTTTCTACTCAACGTGACTCGACCTGTTTCTACTCAACGTGACTCGACCTGTTTCTACTCAACGTGACTCGACCTGTTTCTACTCAACGTCTCAACTCACGCTAGCTGCTCCCCCCTGTTTACAGTCTTTATGCTAAGCTAAGCTAACCATCAGATGGCTGTAGCTCCATGTTCAGAATAGAGAGTGGTGTCAATCTGAACATCTGACGCTCAGCAAGAATAAACATATTTCCCAAACTGTTACACTTGTCCTTTAAAAGAAGTCGTAAGTTTCTGTTTGTGAAAACATCAGAACGTTATATTTTCTTAGAGGAGTTGGTCGAGATGAATTATCTTTTGCTGCAGCTGTTGTTCTTTTAGGATGTGGTGTCAGAACTTCAGATAATCTTTTGATCAGTCAGACAGGATGTAAGCTCCGTCTCTCTGTAACAGACAGACAAACATCACAAACAATCTGACAATGAGAGACAACAACTAATCAGATCATGTTGACGCACCCCCCCCTCTGGAACTCTCCCCCCAAACACATGCGAGACTGCACCGATCATCCCAAATCAAAACCCACCTTTACAGAACTGCTTTCAATGTGTGACCATTATTGTGTTTTATGTTTTTAGTGTGTAGCTTTTATATATGATGATTTTAATGTAAAGTGTCTTTGAGTACTCTGAAAAGCGCTCTATAAATAAAATGTATTATTATTATTGTTAATGAATGAAGTTGGATGAAGAAGACGTTTTGTTTTCTGCTCGACGTTGTGCTCGACCACCTCTCTCTCTCTCTACTGGTGGTTTATTGTAACAGGATGTTGTCACCACGTGTCTCTAACGGTCAGCGGAGCTTCATTCTGCAGACGCCATGAAGGCAACTCTGCTTCTCCTCCGTAAGTAGAGAAAACCTTCAACAAAGATGAACATTCATCATGCAAAACCAACCAAAGTGAAACCTTCATTTAGGGAACAGAGATGTGTTGTTGTGATGTAGATTATTACAAAGGAAATGTGACAGTGACTGTTGTTTCAGTGTTGGTGAGCGTCGGCCAGACGTCTGTCCACAGTCGTGGTGAGTTTCAACCCAAAGAACTGTGTGTTTGGGTTTAATTCCTCCTCCAGTCTCTGAACAGACATTTATTTAAATTATAAATCTTAAATTTAAATCTTTCTGAGGATATAAGTACATAAAATCATAATTCATATAAATTCTGTGTCAAATCTAAAATGTCTGATGAACGTCTGTTTGCTGCTTCGTGTCTGTCTGAAGTCGGTTTTATCGCTTGTTTCCGATAAAAAACCCGACGGCAGAAGTCAACTTGTTGCTAAAAGTTCCTACGTAACATTTTGCTACGTAACATCAATAGTTTATATTTATTTGTTTATTATCGCATAAGAGCAGATGTTGGTTCTTTTATTTGTAAACACATGACATCATAGGGTTGTTTTATTCATATGTTTCTTGTTACGCAGTAGAACACCTGAACAGCTGATCGTTTTAGTCGTTAACATCTTCACCTCAGTGAGTCTGAGACTTCCTGTAAGTCGGTTACGTTGATTTGAATGTGAACGTCCCTTCTTCTCCGACTTGATTGCTGTTTGTGAAAAAAAAACAATTTACATTTGTAGTCTGAAAAGTTGCAAAATCTAGCAGCAGACATGTCTTAAAATCAGTTCCTAAAACACATTTTTACAGACTGGCTCTTCTGTGATGTCGTTGCTGTTTTATTTTTATTTGTTGATTTTACTAAATTATTTGACTACATTTTTTTATTATATTTCATTTATTTCTTAGTTTATTTTTATCGTATCGACTGTCTCTCTGAGCTTTCTGTTATTGTTATTATTGTCTGTCAAAGCACTTTGTAAACTCTGTTTTTAAAGGTGATGTATAAATAAAGTTATTGTTATTATTATTATTATCAAGAACGATCAAGACAATCTGTTGACGTTCGAGCGGCAGCGCCCTCTAGTGGTCGTAGTAACGCCATCATATCAGATGGAAATAAAGAGCCGCGTGTCCGCTGGTCTGGAGTCTGTTTCAACACTTTCTATTAGAGAAAATAAATATGACTTGTGAGATGAATATTTGGGTTCACATCCCGAGGTCTGCCTGTTTGAGGAAGCAACAGCTTGTTTTGAGCCTCTCTGCCGTGATGTATTTGTACTGAACGTGAGCATTTTCTTCTGTTTTCTGTTGAAATGTTGTACTTTGGAGTTACTTTAAAGATTACAATTTTACAAAAAGAATCAATGGTATTTGGTGATGAATGAACATGTTGACCTGATGATGATGTCAGAGGATTAGAGGTCACTACAGTTCATTTCATCACCATCCATCCCATAATAGTCGAGATGTTTTTTCTCCCACAGCCTCGGTGACGGTCGCTCCCAACAAGTCTCAGTTCTACGAGTACGAGAACATCTCTGTGAGCTGTGAGCAGACGAGCTCCGCTGGATGGACGGTGTGGAGATACACGACCGACAAGTAAGTTTAACCGGCAAAAACACGCTTCAGTTAGTCTGAACAACAATAACATTCCTTAAAAAGAAACCTTTAAAATGCTGAGTAAGGGTTTCCTTGGTGCAGAAAGGTTGACGTGACGACACATTGTTAGGTTTTTTACTAGTGTAAAGCTGTCCCAGTGCGGATCGGGATGGGGTGAACGGACCTCCTCCGCCTGCGTCATCAAGATCACCAAGCTGTCGGACAGTGGCGTGTACTGGTGTCAGTCCAGACACGGAGACAGCAGCAACACCGTCAACATCACCGTCATCAGTAAGACTTTACCGCACAAATACTTTCTCTTCTTCTTCCTTTTCTGTGTCAGTTCTGGTAATAGAATAAACTAAACTCTCACAATATGTCGAGTCAACACAAGTACGGAACAAGTCTTTGTTGATGACTCACTCGCTACACTTCTATGAGTCACATCAATTGTCTTAAAGGGAACCAATTACATTAAAGGGGAAGTGATGCAGTTGTGTGGAGGCCCAGCTACAAACAGACAGGAAATACAAACGGCAGACACAAAGACACAACGGCCTGAGAGAGTCTGAGTTCTACCTGAACGACTGCTGCAAGCAAATAAATACAGGGCGGCAACCTCCAGTTCCGAAAGCTGCATTCTCTCTAGTGTCCACCAGGGGGCGACTCCTCTGGTTGTATAGAAGTCTATGAGAAAATGACTCTACTTCTCTCTTGATTTATTACCTCAGTAAACATTGTAAACATGAGTTTATGGTCTCAATCTCTAGTTTCAAGTCTTCTTCAATACAGCATGATGTTCATTTAGTACATTATGGTCCATTTAGAGTCACACAGACCATAAAGCAGGGGATGCTTTAGGGCGGGGCTACACAGTGATGGCTTAAAAACCAAGATGGTGACGTCCATCGGATTGTCTGTTTCGGACAGTTACAGATCTACCCTCCCAATAAATCACTTCTGGAAACCATGAAGAGACATTTTGTCCTTTTCTTGTTGTTTCTTCATTTTGTTCTATCTATCCTCTGATATATTCAGCAGCCGTTGATCAAACCCTTCACGTTCAGGTCAGACTGAGCCGGTGTTGATGAGTCCTGTCCTCCCTATCACGGAGGGACACGACGTCACTCTGTCCTGTACGACAAAGAAAAACTCCTCCAACCCCCGAGCTAGTTTCTACAGAGACGACTCCTTCATCGGGACTGAGCCTGAAGGTCTCATGACCATCCGCAATTTCTCCAAGTCTCACGAAGCTGCCTACAAATGTAACATCAGCGGTGGCTTCTCTTCCCCCAGCTGGCTGCTGATGGAAGGTAGAGTCTGTTCACTCAACCTCACTCCCTTTTCTTTATCTTTGACATGTCCCACCTTGACTTGTTGCGTTTGATCCGCAGATGGTTCCGACCCGGTTCGGCTCTCAGTGTCTCCTGACTCGTCTCAGCTGCTGGAGTACGATACTCTGTCTCTGAGCTGCGGTAACGCCAGCGTTCACGGCTGGAACGTCATCAGGTCCACCACGTCCACCACGTCTGAGGAGGAGATATCCAGCTGTGCGAAATGGGGGAAGCTCACCTCTGCAGGCTGCGTCATCCAGTTGACCAAGGTGCCCGACAGCGCCACCTACTGGTGCCAGTCTCCTGAAAATCAGCGGAGCAACTCTGTCCAGATCACCGTGTCCGGTAGGACGCTTCACAGAGGAACCTCTTCTCAGTTATAAGAAGCACAGAGCTACAACACATCCTCTGTCTTTTCTTCAGATGGACTGGTGATCCTGCAGAGTCCTGTCCTCCCTGTGACGGAGGGACATGAGGTCACTCTGTCCTGTAGGACCAAGAAAAACTCCTCCAACCCCCGAGCTGGTTTCTCTAAAGACGGATCCTTCATCAGGACTGAGCCTGAAGGTCTCATGACCATCCAGCATGTC